GTGCGACCCAGAGATCATGGCAAGCCTTCGGCGGATGGAGGAGCGGTTCAGGTCTGAGAGCTATTTGAACAGCACGAATAGGCTGCAGATCTTGGCCACCAAGACGTCGACGCAGCAAGCCCGCAGGTGGGTCGTCCTGGGCTTGGAGGATTTGATCAACAGCGGCCTGCTGGAGAACGAAGCCATCTCCAAGCAGAAGCTCCTCGGAGACAAGCATGTCTGTGGACTGGTCGCTCTTCTGGAATTTAAGCTTCGTTGCCTGGGTCACATCACCGATGTGCTCATGGTGCAGGCGCAATTCCAGGACAAGACGCGTGCGGCCATGCGCAGTCGATTGAGCTCTGCCATGGACGCAAGAGAAGCCACGCAGACAGATTTGAGCTGGCAGGGGCTAGTGGAGCCCAGTGCTCAGAAAGCTATCCACTTCCTCATGGACGTCGTCTACGGCACACGTTTCGACAACTTGATGAAGTCCAAGGTGAAGGCCGGATCTCATCCCGACCTGCTGCTGGACATAGACAGCATCAGTGATGAGTGGAAAGCGGTGGAAGCTCTGCGCTCGAATGAGTTGGACGAGGCCAAGGCTAAAGCTTCCGAGGATGACGGGAGCAGCGACGGGGGCGATGACGAGCTTCCCTGCGACGGCTCTGCCAAAGGAATCAGTCAGGCCCTGAAGCAAGCACGTGCCAATCCGAATCATTGCAAAAAGAATTCCCCAGCTTACTGGAGAAGTGTTGCAGGGCAGACGGTGCGCAGCTACTTGAGAATCCTGACAGAGGCCAGCACCGAGAAGGGCATCATTCAGAGTGTGGAGCAGATGAATCTTGAGAGCCCGGAGTTCGGGAAGAGCACCACCCTGGTGATGTGCGACACCAGCCTTCTTGGCGAGTCACACGGCCCCGGGCAGCATCCTGGCTTGCGGAAGAAGTATAGCCCAGAGCCTTGGCAGCGGGCACTGCTGGCAGTCATCAATTCCGGTTTCAAAAGGGTTTAGGGTTTATGGTTTGGCACGTCCTAGGCTGTCTTGTTGAGGACCATGCCTGCCTGGAGAAATTGTGTGGCAGCACGTTGATCGCTTTGGGCTCCCAGGCCAACGCCAAGGGAGTTTCCAACCCTGCAGACACCGTGGTTTTCGCCCTGGTGGACCCTGGCAGCTGCATGTCGAAGCAGTTTTGCAGAGATTCAGAGAAAATGGCCGTGTGGGTCATGTTGTCCCACGAGTCAGTCCGTGCACGGAAGAAGATCAACCGCGGCTCCAATGCAACCTCGCAGCGCGTGGAGATGACATTGTTCACCGAAAAGACCTTCGGCATGATGGTGCCGGAAATGCCACGCATCGTGTACGCCGGCTACACCCACGGGGATGCTATCGGGCCTGTGACAGCCCTCGCGCCGGACAAGCTATGGCGGCTGCCCCGTGCCGAGAAAGAGGAGATATTGGGTGCGAGGAAAGTGACTGTTCCTCCGGGCGAGGACCCCGACATCGAAGGCGAAAGCGTCTTCAGTTGCGCTGTGCTGCCCATGGAACTTTATCAAGAGGTCATTCACTCGACGAAGGCTCAGACCGTGGTGGACTTGTCCCCGGGACAAGGTGAATGCTGCAAAGCAGCGCTTGCCTTGCGCGTCCCCATCGTGGCCATGTGTGGGAGTGAAGCCCACAGCCAGAGGCTAGAGCTTCTGCTCACGGAATACATATTCCAAGAGCAACGAAGAGAATCCTCGACGTTTTACCGAGCCGAGGCATGCGAGGACAACGTCGATGCAGAGGACGAGGATGAAAAAAAGACTACCAAGAAGCGCAAGAATGAAAGCCAACCGAAAAAGCAGCCCAAGAAGAAGGCTGCCTCGAAGCCCAAGCCGAAGAAGAAGGCTGCCGATGAGAAAGACCAGGAGGACGAGCAGGGCGAGGAGGATGATGGCGAGGAAGATGAGGGAGATTTGCAAGGGCAAGGGTCTCCGTTGCCGTGGTGAACTTGATCGCGTTACCTTTTATTTTGCGCAGCCATGAATGTGGCAGGGCACATTATCAGGCTGAACTAAGCCAAGCAACGCCGCTCTTACTTCATGATCGTTGCACGTAGAAGAACTTTAAAGGGGCATGTACACGGGCTCTACCGCGTTGCTTCGTGTCGGCTTAGGTGGTTTTGCTTAGGATGCTGGGCCAAGGAGCTCATGAGGGCCCAGGAACATGTTCGTTTCCCATGGGAGTTTTGGAACGCTGAAAGAAGTGAGTTGCAGGGGTCGGTGAATCACTGGCCGGACTTGTTAACAAAGCCGATCGCCACAAAAGTGTTTCAGACTTGCTGTTTGCGTTCTGCCGTAAATGGTGCCATGCTGTTGTTGGAGTGTCACGTGCATGCTGACATGCGTGTATGTATCATGCTGTTGTTGGAGTGTCACGTGCATGCTGACATGCGTGTATGTATGTCGGTCAGTGACAAGCTGCCGAACCTGCGAGCACTTTTTGAACCCTACCCGGGTCAGGCACCACGAGATGCCTTTGACGGAGGCCAGCTTTGCTTCTGCTCGCGTCAGCTGGCACGTCGGTGAGAGTCGCACTATTTCAGTTTGTCGGAGTCGCTGCAATAATAAGTGTTAGATTGAAAAGGGGCGCAAGTACAAGGAGAAACAAGGGGTTTTGTGCCGCAACGGCGCAGCCCGGGAAGGGGATTGTGCCGCGAGGCGCTCCCCGCACGGAGAGGGAGGGGAAGGGCGAAGGGTTGATTAGGGTTTCAGGTTTTAGGGTGGATTAGGGTCAAGGTGTTAAGGTTGATTCATTAGGGTCTAGTTTCAGGTTCCAGGGATTTTCAGAGTTTCAATGCTACCGTTTAGGTTGTATTCGGGTTTAGTTTAACATTCTTAGAATAGACTAGGGCTTGTCAGGGATGACGAGGGTTCTAAGTCTAGGGTTTATTGGGATTAAGTTTCGTGTCTTTTGACATTGAGGTTTCATTAATTTAATGGAACTTTAATAAGGGTTGGCCCTCGGCTTTTTTGTAGAAAATAATACAGTTTTGCACATGAAGTCTGATGTGTGCAAGTCTTTCGGACAAGCGTTCTCCAGCCACTTGACGCCTCGAGAACTATTCTGAAGTGCTGTGTTCGCCAACATCTTGAGGTCTGGGGGATCTTCAGTCTTCCTGCTCTGCAAGATGGCACTGAATCTCGGCCTCGGCAGGGGCCCCGGGCAGGACCATAGAGCAGCTGCTGGCCTCGAAATGCACTGCAAGCTTGCGGATGAGACAGACGCAGTCACCGGTGATTGATTATTATGCAAGCCATGATCTGAAGCCTACCTTGGAGCACTTACTGCCAACAAAGTTCACGCTATAGACGCTAGCCTAACGGGCAAATTGTGTAAAGCTGGATGCTGTCTTGCGCAAGGATGGCCATGAAGCCGATGGAGAAATGGCTGTACACGGCGGCTTCGAGGACTACTTGTCTCATTGAAAAGTTGGCGCTCTGCGACCATGAGAACTGTTACTTGTAAGTACCGCGGAAAGCGCTCTGTAAACGCTTATTGCCGTTCAGAGCTGCAGCGGCTTGTTCCTGATTCATCCGGCCGTAAGCATCATACGTGCGACGGTGAGCTATTCGAGCATAAACCATCGCAGACTCGGGGTCCACACAGCTCCGTTTCAAATCATTGATTGCTCTGTGGCGGCCCGAGTGCGAGCGTATCGTCTTGACATCCAGGACCAGCGACGTGTTCTTTGGGGGCACGAATGTCGCCCGAGCCTTGGTCAAGACGTGACACACAATGTCCTTGGTTTTGCGGCCGAGCTTGGTAGGGGCCGGGAAGAGAAACTTATTTCCTTTGGGCCATGTCCAATGATCTTTTACCGTGGTTGTTGGCCTAGCACCGCACTGCACCCTGCGAGACGACTTCTTCCCGTTCTGGCGCAGACGGCGCAACAGTGGCAAGCAGGCCTTGAGCATGGTCTTGCGAGCCTGGCGTATCATCTGACATCAGAGTCACAACAAGGCCCGAAACCCCCGAGGAAAAACAACCCTATCATCAAATGAGATTCTTACAACTTAGTATAAAAAATTGGACGATTAGTCCATGGCTGCATAATAGTCTTAGCTAGTAGTTCCTAGCGCAAGGAATTGAGTAGAAGTCGGCGCCTCTGCGTGACGCTTCAGTGCGCAAATCGTCACAGTCTGCTGGGACCAATGGAAGTCGCTGGCTTTGAGACAAAGTATCTCAGTAACCCGAGCGCAGAAGACATGCGTCAAGGTGACGACGACCCATACCCACACTGGGACCGTGGCCAAGAGGTGTTTGCGCCACGAATTCCACAGCACGCCGCTCATTGTGGCAGCCTGACCGATTTTTGAGGCCTGCTTCTTGACCTTCTTGCTTCGTCGAGCTCTGCGACCTTTCTGGTGGGGTCGGGCTGCCATGTTGTCGATTCCGATGCTTGAGCCCGGCTGCGCTGCAGTTTTTCTCGGGAGGTCGCGAAAACGCCCATTAGGCGACGCCCCGTCCCCAAGCCCCGACCCATCCCCAACCCAAGGCCCCGAGGCAGCAAAGGCGACCTCCCGAGCCGAATTCACCACCCCGGAACAAACCTAACCCAAGAAA